TGGCGGAGACTGTGCATTCTCCGATCGTGACTTACGCATCGATGTTATCGCTTGTCGCCTTTTGTCCACCTTTCGTTATTCTCCTGTAAGCTTTTGTTCATGGATCGACTCGCATGATTTTTTCATCTCCTTAAATCGTGTAGCTGATTTCTGAATCAGCAAATCGTTTTCCGATTAAGTAGGAATCGTTGAATATCTTTGATCGGAAGGAAAAAAAAAAAACGATTCAATGAAATGTGTTTCTTCAATTGTGGGTTTCGTTTCGTTATTGTTGACTGAGATTGTGAGTTTCTCCAGATTAGGCAAACAATTGTAGATTTGACTGAAGTGGCAAATTCACGTTTTAATCTATTTGTTGGGTCTATTCTTTTATTTGCTAATTAATGTATGGGGAACTGTGCCCAGTTCTGATTTATAGAGTGGAATGTGACTTCATTATCCCTTCAAGGACTCTGTTTTTTTAACAATCCTGAGTTTCAAGTGATGAAAACAAGTTTCGTTTCTTGATAATGCAGATGGTATACAATGGTTCATCAGGATGGTTCTGTTACCAAGACCGGTGAATTCTTGTGGCGGAATGGAGGTCAAGGACTCATCAGCATATGGCCAAGACCAACTTTGATTGCTTGGAAGATAATTTTTTGCTATGGAGCATTTGAGGCTGCTCTACAGTTGCTTCTGCCTGGTAAAAGAGTTGAGGGTCCAATATCTCCAACGGGAAACCGACCAGTTTACAAGGTACTGAAAATGGCTTTGCATATGTTTAATTAGCCTTGTGTGCTGGAAGTTGATGCGTATAAATAACTTTTGCGGTTCTGTTCTTGTAGGCCAATGGTATGGCTGCTTATATTGTGACACTAGCCACCTATATTGGTCTTTGGTGGTAAGCAATGTTTACTTCAGTTTGGATTAAGTTTAGAGAAGTTAAGCTTACATAATTTTTATTTAAGGATTAAGTGGTGCACCTCTGTGGACTCACTCTTTGTGTTTTTCAGGTTTGGGATATTCAGCCCTGCAATTGTCTATGATCACTTGGGTGAAATTTTTTCGGCACTAATATTCGGAAGTTTCATATTTTGTGTTCTCTTATACATAAAAGTAAGTACCTATGTCCCGAATGAATGTGTGTTTCTTTTCTTTCTTAGTCTCTACTATTGTAGAATTTGGCCTTTTTATGTTTCTAAAACTTGTCGTGTTTCTCTTCTACAAGGGTCACGTCGCACCTTCATCAAGTGATTCTGGTTCATGTGGTAACCTCATAATTGACTTCTATTGGGTGAGTTCATTCTGCTGATCAAATTTTCATTCTTCTGAAATTACTGGTTTGGATTTATTTAAGGAACTCACATCTTGCCAATGTTAGCCATCTCCTCATGATTTTTTTGCCTCTTTACTTGATATTCGGAGGTCAAGCTTTAATAGAGTTCCATATTTAGTATACTTGTAAACATCAGTGTCTTCTTAGCAGACTTTTTTGACTAAACACAAGAGAATTAGCTTGGTGTGAATATGGTCTTCAATGCCAGAAGTTGAAAGACAAGAACAAAGTATTCAGTACTTATTATAACAATCTCAAGTTGAGATGTTCTCTCACAGTGTACTCTTTGCGTCCAGCTTATTATTAACAAAATCCAATTTGTGGCAATCTTCTTCTCATTGTATTCTTTGCGTCGTGCTTTTCAGGGCATGGAGTTGTACCCTCGAATTGGTAAGAACTTTGACATCAAGGTTTTTACTAATTGCAGATTCGGAATGATGTCTTGGGCCGTTCTTGCAGTCACGTACTGCATAAAACAGGTAATTTCTGGATAAATCTCACCAGAGTTCCACACTCTTACGACATTAATTCTCACCAGAGTTCCATACTCGTACGACATAACCTCGATGTTTCTTTTGAGTCCTTATTTGACCAGGGAGCCTCACCTGTTTCTGATGTATGGTTTGTATACTTTCCTTAACCAGTATGAAATAAATGGGAGGGTATCTGATTCAATGCTGGTGAACACCATACTAATGCTGGTGTATGTCACAAAATTCTTCTGGTGGGAAGCTGGTTATTGGAACACCATGGATATTGCACATGACCGAGGTATGCATCTGGTACAAATATCAAATTTATAGCATCATCATCAACAAAAGTGGCTTCACTATTTGGCCATATTATCCTTGCGGCTTAATTGTTCTGTTTATATGGGTAAAGCAGCAGAATTTTGTTCAGATTATTTTTTCCAGCTTTAACACAGACTGAAGCTTATCTTTTCCATGAATTTATAATCTATGATTTTTCAGCTGGCTTCTATATTTGCTGGGGTTGTCTTGTGTGGGTGCCTTCTGTGTACACCTCTCCAGGCATGTACCTTGTGAACCACCCCATCGAACTTGGAACTCAGGTGCAATTTTTTAAACTTTTATAGCGGACTATAGAGGAAGAGATACAAGAGAAATAACCTTTGGGTGTTAACTCAAAATGAAAAACCTTAAAGATTTCACTTTCATCGAGAAAAGAAAACAAGAAAGGTTTAGCTAAATGTGACAATCCCTGAATCTGGGTTTCCTAAGTAATCAAATTCTAGGAATTGTACTTTAAGTCGTGTAATTGAATGACTGGTTTGTCTTCCATTACAACTGAGGCAGGAGAGAGTTATAGTGTTGAATGTTTATCATTGAATCGTTGCATATTATGGCTCATGTTTCTAGCTGTCAGATGCCAGTCTTATGTAGTAGCATAATGCAGTTCATGAAAACACTATTGATGTTACAATCTTCAGGATAGTTATGCCTATCTCTACCTCTTTAACTTCACCATCTCTTTCCTTGGTTTATGCAGCTGGCAATATACATTCTCGTTGCGGGAATTCTTTGCATTTACATCAACTATGACTGCGATAGACAAAGGCAAGAGTTCAGGAGGACAAACGGAAAATGTTCGGTTTGGGGAAGAGCCCCGTCAAAGGTGTGATCATAATAATCCCCAACAACTTAGCTTATACCTCTTAAAATCTAAACATTCCAATGTATATGAACATATTTCGTTTTCTACGCTTGTCACACAGATAGTAGCAACGTATACTACAACATCTGGTGAAACTAAAACCAGTCTTCTCTTAACCTCTGGATGGTGAGTTTATTCTACATTACACGCTATTACAACAATTAATTAGACGATGTTTATCAATCGATGGCTTTGATTGTGCAGGTGGGGATTGGCTCGTCATTTCCATTATGTTCCTGAGATCGCAAGTGCTTTCTTCTGGACGGTACCAGCTCTTTTCGATAACGTAAAACCCTTCTCCCATCTCCTTGGTATTATTATAAAGCTTTTGTTGCAAAAGAGAGACACTTAACACACAACCACATGTTTGTTTTTGCAAACCAGTTCTTGCCATACTTCTACGTCATATTTCTCACCATTCTTCTCTTTGATCGAGCCAAAAGAGACGATGATCGATGCCGATCAAAGTAAGTACCCATGAATCTGAAATGTTTTTCAAATTCATATATTTTTTGCACATCCTCTTTGAATTTTACGTCGACTTGCTTGCTGAT